GCATAGGTGTGGGGGGGTGAACGTATGTGCAGGCAGTGAGCTGTACTGTAAATCGGGGTCTGCCTGTACGTACTGCAGTCCATGTTGCTCTGTACTTTGTCCATAATTTCTGGGGGACTGACTGTCTTATTTTCTCTCGCAAAATCCCATATTTCATCAATCAACAGTGCACCACATTCAGTAGTTTTATCTTACTCTTTCTGCCAATCTTGACTTCTTCCACCTTCCCTTTGTACTCCAGCTTCTGTTTCATACAACTGAAGGACATCCAAGTTCCATTTACCATTATGTTTTTAATCACTCATCATATCATACATTCAGATATCCCATTATGATTTGTTTTTGTTTCTTTTTATTAAAAATAACTTATACACAATGTATAAAATACAGAATTTCAGAATGATATGTACATTTCAATAAAATTTTGCACTCTAAAATAACAAAAGGATGCAAAATATTTACAGTTGTGTAATTTCTAAACAGCAGTGAAATCCCAACAGTCTAACCTAACAAACTGATCAAACTACTTCAATCTAGTTTAATTTATACTGTGGAAGACAATATTATATTTAGTTAGTATTATGTATCATGATTAATTTATGCTACTTACAGTACAGCAAGATGAAAGATTCTTTTGTCTAAACATAAAACCGTTTATTTTAATCTGCAACCAATTATGACTGAATCAGCAACTTTTGCTCTTTAAATATACTGTATGTAAATTATGTGTTTAAAAAATATAACTTGTTTCAAAACCTCTTTAGTTTGACTGTATGGAAGTCAAATCAGTACAACTGAGATGACCCGCATCATCAAGAATAATCTTGGTAAGCTCAATAAATGATATGTAGAAGCAGAAATCTTTTGTTTTATTTTTATTAGTGGCAATGTAATTTAAATTGTTGCAAGTTAAATAAGGTACAGTATACTGTAACAAAGCTTTTGTGTGCTCAGTTGTAGTTGATGATAGCCATAGTCCTCAGAAGGAACAATATTGTAAGCAGCATATTTATTTACTGCATTATTTCCTATACAGTATGGTAATTATATTCATACAATTGAATCTTTATTTTTCTCTTCTCTTTATTTATTTTTTCATGCTGTTTGGGGAACTCTTGAGTCTTATGATTATTACTGGTAGGAATACCATAAACATGGTGATTTGGAAATACAGTATAGAAACACATCATTCCTAAGTTCTTACTGGTAGGTAGATATACTTTTTTTTTATAATTTTTTTGGTTAAATGATTTAAATTAAATTTCAAAAGGTCTAGTATATGTGGTTAAATATGATAACAAGAAATAACAGCTAATGATACATCAGCAAAGCAAAGGACATCACTCAACTGATCCACTTGGCTGCAACAACCCAATTGTGTGGCATCTGTGGTCAGCAGCATCTGCTTTAATTGTACCATAAGGGAGTTTTTTTACTGCAGACATTGTCAGATTATCATTTATGTTTTGATGGCTCAAAAAAGTGTTGAGATATTCAGAAACTGAAATAAAGAATGTCAAAATAGAGAGGTTTTCCTTATATACATCCTGCATGCTATTAAATTCCTGGCCCAACTATTGCAAAGAAGTTCTTCACCTCCTTCCCACCCTCTGTCATTATAGCTCTATCCTTCTCATTATTTTAATGCCTCATATTTTATACTTTTTTGTATGCACTTGTTTGTCAGCATTACCATATGGTAAAGTTTTTATTGTTTGTATCCTGAAGTTTTAGACATCTTTATTGGTGGAACTATTTTAGTTATGTTAATACAGGGTACTATAATAATATTGATTGGTTTCTAAAATTTTGTGTGTGTATGTGTGTGAGTGAGTGAAAATTAAATGTTAAAACTAAAGTTTATTAAATAGTACAGTAGTATTTAGAAAATTCAAATTGCAGGGTCAAGGTGGACATATATCATTGAATTTCAAAGATCCCGAAAGTCGTTGGTAAACAGTAAGAATTAATTATTAGCTGCACTTAGTATGGTGTACAGTGAGCAGTTCACCATGAACTTTAATAAGTCCTTCCTCTACCAGATGTTACATCATTCCTACAGCCATTTATTCATTTTTATTTTTTAATATGTATGGCAGGGGACGCCTTCAACTTGTACAGTATTGGGGTGGGAGTGTTGACATATTTCCAACTTTGTGAGCTTTACCATTTTTTTTTTTTTAACATGCTGTAGAGATTTCATTTAAATTGGATGGTAAGTAGACATTGTTACTCCCCATTCTAGTGGATTAGAATACAGTATACTGCTTCATAAGTTCACAGATTTGTAGCTGAATGACATGGACAAAGGAAATACAGTATAAACATATTTCTGTATTTATACTGAACCCAATTTATAACACATGAAAAACCACCGATAAAAAATGGTTTCAACTTCGAATTTGTTTAGTGGTAACAAGTGAAATTTACAATCACTTCCTCAACCTCTTTCTTGTTCAATTATGATGATCACAAATATAGAATATTGTACAAGTAAATACTGACATGATTCCCTTTCTCAGTATTTCTGAACTGAATGTTCTTTTATTTTGACAGTATTTTCTTTTTAGAGCTACAGGCCAACAGGTATCTTACTTTACTTTTTTCCTCTTCACCACGGAACGGCTCGTTAGCCGCTTGGGCGATCGGTCACGTCTCCGTCACGCACTGTTGGCAAGATTAGTTATATACTGGCTCTCTGTTACACACTGTTAGCAGGTACTGGGCATGCACCGGCTCCTGAATGTACCTGAACCCGCTCCAGTGTTGGTCAAGTCTGGTCTTGAAAGAGCTTACACTCTGTACCGTCACAACACTTTCTGGTAGATTGTTCCAAGAGTTCACATCTCTCACTCCGAAAACGTTTGCCCTCACAGTTTTTACTGGGCAAGTACTGGGTCCTGCCCATATCGTCAACAACCCGCTTCGTCACCACTATTTTTAACCCGTTTTGTATCCACTGCTTTACCCCTTTCGTCACCCCATTCATTCTTACCATTACAGCTCCTCCCCGACTTACGACATGCCTCGGTTGTACCAAAATTTTGTCAAATTACGTATTTTCGAGTCCCAACGTCAGTACACAGAGAAATTTTTCATTTGTAATTCACTTTAAAATGGCTGGCAAGCTTAAAAGTGAAAGTTTTGTGGTGCTGAAAAGAAAAAGAGACTCCCATTTTAGATTTTCTATGTATTATTTAAGCGTTTTCGACTTTCGACCATTTCGACTTACGGCTTGGATTTGGGTCCCTAGCCCCGTCGTAAGTCAGGGAGGAGCTGTATATACATACATGAAAATAACTGCTGCTTGGGATATAAAATAATGAAAAACAATTTATTAAAGACGGAATCTTAGGCCAAGCAAACCATGTGTATTTTCTCGAAACAAGGTTAATCAAGTACTGTACATGGGTTCATACAAAGGAGTGTTCGTTACAAAACTAGTGAGGTCCATATCTTGTGTTTGTGAGACCACTTGGATTACACGGTTCAATTCTTGTCACCGTAATACAGAATGGATATAGAAGCCTTAGAAAGAATTCAGAGGAGAATGACAAGGCTAATCCCAGGCATTAGGAACCTTGAATACAGAGACAGGTTAAAGCGTCTTAATTTGCACTCCCTCCAGAGACGTAGAGTGAGCGGAGATATGATAGACGTGTATAAATGGAAGTCAGGGCTAAACAAGGGGGACATTACAAAGGTACTCAAACTATTCAACCAGGAGCAAACTTGTAACAAAGGTTTAAAATTAGACAATTTAGATTTAGGCGCGAAATAAGTAAACATTGGTTTGAAAATAAAAGTAGTGGACGAGTAGAACAAGTTACCAAATACCCTGTATCATCATTAACTCGAATACGCTGGATAGCTTCAAACATAGGTTGGATGGGTACGTGAGCAATCGGGGTTGGGTGTAACTGGGACTGCCCAGTATGGGCCAATAGGCCCGCTGCAGTTTTCTCCATTCTTGTGTTCTTGTTAATAAGCCTGCAATCATCTCGCTGCTTGGTGGTTTATGCACTGGTACCAAATCACCTTCACCTGTTCTCTATTTTGTGTATTTACCAATTTTGGATCTTCAGGGGCTCGGCAAGCTCGTTGCTCAACTCTCTTAGGGCCTCCATGGCTTTGGTAAGTTCTCCTCGGAACTCGCCCACAAGTTGCAATTTGTTATCAACTACTGTGATCATCATGCCCTGATGTCACAACAAAACTTCAACACAACTACACACACAAAGAGAAATTCAGTTAACACCCTTCAAGAGGAAAGGGTGTAAGTATTGACACACATGCATCGGCTACTTCTTAAATGGATAATCATAAAAAGAATTTGGTAATAGGAGAATAAAAAAGAATGAATAAAACAGATCAAGAATGAGTATGGTTATATTTGTGGTGTTGTCAATAGTAAGAGAGACAGTTGAGACCCGGCAAATGTGTGTAAATGAGGCAGAAAGATAGATCAGCAACCTGGGACTTGGTCACAATTTTCGTGATGCCATATGGCAGCAAGGTCTACCATTAGACAATAGATTATGCTTCCAATATCTTCCCAGGCGGTAGTACCTCCATGTTTGGTAGCTGCCAACTACCTACTACCTTGTGTACGGTAAATACCATACTATACCGTTAGACCATATTTACGATGACAACAGACAAAGAATTATAGTCACAGTAGTCTAACGAAACTAGATTTACCGCAAGATTGTTAAGAACGGTTTATTAGTTGTTATACGTTATTTCTGATCGTTTTGTGTTATTTGATGAAATATTTTAGTGATCTTGCTCGTAATGTTGTTCCAACATTATAAGTCTAACTCCTATGTTTGGAAATTGAAAATATCACTAACTCGCTCGTCAATAATATTCCATCAAAATTTAATGAATTTAATTTTTAAAGCAGGAAAAATATGAATTTATTTTGTTAAATATAATCTGTAAAATTGCTAATGATAGGTTCTCATTTGATGGTGTGGACCTGTTCTGTGATTGGTGGAATGTTAACCTTCTCAGTCGCTCTGTGTTGTTGGTTGGTTCAAGTGGAGTTGGTCTGTAACCTGTTGATTGTTGGCGGAATATCTCCAGTTTCTCTTTTATTTACTGTCAGGGACTAGCAGAGTATAAAGAAGACAGGAGTTAAATAAGTGAGTAGTAGATGAGATATTGTTGTAAGATGGTGAACTGTGCCTGCTGCTGGGCTGACCGCCTCTGGCTAATATTAAAATATTAAATGTACTTCATGTTTGTTGTATAAGGTTTCATATTATGGTAGCCAGTAAGGGTATGGTTAGTGTTCACGGGTGCATGTACTGATTATCTGATGGTATATACTGTATGTTTATGTGTACGTTATTTGAATTTTTAGTTGCAGATTCAGCACAAGTTAAAGGGAGGCAGTTATGTACAGCACTTATATTATTTTTATTTATGTTGGTAAAATTGAACTTTTCCTTGTAATGGTCTGGAGTATGGTCTCGCATTAATCAACAACCATAAAAAAGTATAGGTAAATATTGGTCCATTGACTGTCTTCAGGTTTTGGTGTGTGAATAGGATATTTTGGGAATATTTTACTTAAATGTGATCCTCATTTATTGTGCAAATTAGCGGTTTTTGCAAAAAAATTAACATTTTCAACAAACTGCTAATTTGCAAAAAAAAAAAAAAAAAAATGGTCAGTTTTGAGTAAAACGCCCATAATAACTTCTCATACTAATGGGACCTGGTAAATTTGCATAAGCACACCACACTGTTAGAAAGTAAAAAATATAATTTCTAGTGTATTTGTGTGTGTTTAGACCGAACATGACCTTCATTTCCGTTGGAAATTGGCCGTTTTCTTTATCTTTTTTTTTTCGTGGGACTTTTTCGAAAACAAATAATGGCTAAGCGAATAAAAACTACACCAAAACACACTAGAAAAACAAAAACCAAACCAAACCTAACCTAACTGACTCTCACCATATGATGGAATCACCTATTTCTTACCTTATTGGGCTGTAGCGTCTCTCCACCCTGGGCTGGGATGCATTCTCTCTGGCGCAAATTCCATTTTGAACCCACAAAATATATTTGTTTCCCTCCTCAGGGCTTACAAAAATACATATCCATATCAATAATAATCTAGATCACAAAATAGTTGTCTCTGGAGTTCCTCATACCACATCTGCCCCCACTTAAACCTATCATGGTCCCCATGATACTAGGTACAGTTTATAAGAAAATAAATGACCTAACATTCTGAGGCATTGAGCACTTGGTAGGAGGAACTTTACAAATTGTACTGCCAGATAGGAACTAACAATGTGAAACTTAAATCTATAGCACCAAAATACTTTGGATTGTCGATTGAGGTAACTTATATTTGAGTGTTTGCCTGCTGTAGCTCTCTAACTTCTACGGAATGCAAGTCCACTCTGAGACTCTTCCTCACTACTGCTGCTGCTAATACTATCTGCGACGGAGCGGTCCCACTAATTACCCAAATGAACCCAAATGTAGCCACAATGAAGTCAAATGATGGTCATACAAGCGTAAATCGGGCTGTGAATCACTTCTCGATTAGTATTTGGTGTCATAAAGTCACAAAAAATTGGTAAACTTAATTTAATCTGAGTTAGGTTAGGTTAGGTACATGCACTCGATCTATTAACTCAGATTAAATTAAGTTTTCCATTTTTTTTTTTTTACTTTGTGACACCAAATACTAGTCGAGAAGTGATTGGCAGTCCGATTTATTCATGTAGGACCATTATTTGACTTCATTGTGGGTACATTTGGGTAATTAGTCGGACCCGCGACGGGGTCCAGGTCCTCATAGAATTGTGTGTCTACCTCGTGCCTAGAGTTTTCAGCACTGTCAGGATGTGGGTCCCCCACCGGGTAACCTGCATCATCCTTATCATCACCATCATAGCTATCTGTCCCATCTGAGCCATCAGCTACCTTTGGGGCTGCCCGCAAATCCATGCGGCGTATTACCTTTGAGACCCCATCTCCTTCCTCGGGAACAATCCTACACACACTTCCCTCCTCATTCAACACATGGGATACCACATATATATATCCTCATACCAGTTGTCTTGGATTTTATTCCTTCCCTTTCCATGAAGGTTTTGCACTAGTACACGTTGACCAACGTCCAATGCTTTTCCTCGCGCTTTCTTATCTTACAGAAGCTTCCTACTCTGACACTTATTCTCAAAATTACAGTTTGCAACTCTCCAGGCATTCTCTAATACTTCTCTGTGTAGGGTCACCCAATCATCACACGAGTCCTCCTCCTCTGCTTGTGCTAACAAGATATCTATCGGAAGCTTGGGATCAGTACCGAAGATCAAAGTGTGGGGGGAGAACCCAGTGGTTGAGTTAGGAGTCTTTTTATAGATGGCAGTTACCATTCCTAAATGCTTTGCCCTATGTTTCTTTTGCTTGACTGACCATGTTCACAACAATTGGTGCATTGTGCGGTGAAACCTCTCACACTGTCCGTTTCCAGCTGGATGGTATGGAGTAGTACTAGATTTCCTTATTCCCCAGGTCTTGCATAGGTCTTTCAGTAATGCACTCTGAAATTAGGCTCCCAGATCAGTGTGAATTTTCCTAGGAACATCATATTTGGTAAATATCTCATCAACCAGGGTCTTTGCTACAGTCGCTGCCTTCTGATCCCATGTGGTGAATGCCTAGGTATACTTAGAGAACACATCTGTCACCACCAACACATTTTCTTTGCTGTCACTTGAAGGTTCTAGTACTGTAAAATCCACCGCTACGATGTCAAAAGGTCTACTGGCTGTAAGCGGCTTCATTTGCATGCGTACCTCTGGGATAACTGCTTTTGTTACAATGCACCGGTGGCAGCCCCTACAGTATTCAAAGATGTCCTGATCCATTCGTGGCCAGTAGCACCTCTGCTTAATCAATCTAGTGGTGCGTTCGGTGCCCTGATGACCCATGTCATCATGCAAAAATTTCATTACCTCCCCCTACAAGGTAGTAGGCAAAACTAGTTGTTTTAGCTCCTTCTGGCCTGACCTTCCCCATTTCCTAAACAGCAATCTGTTGCAAATGAACAATCTCCCTCTCTGTTTCCATAGGCCGTTAAAATCCTGGCCCTTTCTCAGCTTCTGTAATTCACTTTCTCCTAGCTGCCTTTCTAGGCCCTTTCGGCATGATGAAATGTTACTGTCCTGCTCCTGCAGTTGCTCCAAACCTTCCTGAGATATGCTGGGAAGCCACATTAACTGTCCAGTCACCTGAGGGTTATCTGCTCCTTCCTCAGCTGGGCATGGGGTCTCATTGTCCTCACCACAAAGAGAACTCTCCTCCTTGAAAGTATCTATGGCCATAACTTCAACCCTCTCGGAGGAGTAATCTGCCTCAGGTTCTGGCTCATGGCTCTTTCTGGATAATCCATCTGCATTCCCATTTGCTTTCCCTGCCCGATATTCCAGATGATAATCAAACTGGGCTAAATCAGCCACCCATCTCTGTTCTACTGCCCCAAGCTTTGCCTTGTCCAAGTAAGTCAAAGGATTGTTGTCAGTGAGTACAGTAAACTTGCTGCCTGCCAGACAGTCTTTGAATTTCTCCGTGATGGCCCACTTCAAAGCTAGCAGCTCTAATTTCATGCTACTGTAATACTTCATATTTCTCTCCGACCCCTTCAAGCCCCCTACTGGCATAGGCAATTGGGTGTTTTCTGCCTTCTACCTCCTGTGACAAGACAGCTCCTAGCCCCTGAAAACTGGCATCAATCTCTAGGAAAAATGGCTTGCTAAAATTGGCAAAAATCAAATGGGTGCCATGACTAACTTGCCCTTTAGTTAGTTGAATGCATCATCATGCACCTGGGCCCACTTCAAGCAGATGGACTGGTTTGGGGCGGTGGCAACTGAAGTTAGGGCTGTTAATGGGGTAGCTAATTTTGTAAATCCAGGCACAAACCGTTGGTAAAAAGAGGCAAACCCAAGGAAGGAACGTAACTCCCTATTGGTGGTGGGAACCTGCCACTGCTTAACAGCCTCGGGTCTTACCAGGGTCTGTCTCAATTCCCTTCTGTGACACTACATATCCAAGATAGGCAACCTTCCTCTGAAACAGGTTGCATTTGGATGGTTTCAGTTTCAAGTTATGTCCATTTAGCCTGGAGAGCACTTTGCTTCTGCCAATGCATCAAGAGACTCATCAATCCTTGGGAGTGGAAAGGCATCCATATGTGTGGCTTTGTTCAGTTTCCTATAGTCAACTCACAAATGCAGTGACATATCTCGTTTCTTCACCAGAACAATCGGGGCTGCGTATGGACTACCGGGTAGTGCTTTTCTGTATGACCCCCTGCTCCAACAGCTGGTTGATAAGGTCCCTAACCGTTTGGATTTGAGTGGGGGGAACCCGTCTGAAGGGCTGCCAAATGGGAGTTTCATCTACGAGAGGGATGGTATGCTTGACTATTCCAGTGCATCCTAATTTTCCCTTGCTGTCTAGAAAAACATCGCGGTACTTCCGCAACACACTCCAAAGTCTCTTGTGTGCTACTGGGTATTTGTTTTAGGTCAATCTTCAGCCCTATTTGCCGTAGATCTTCTGGCATCTGCCCATCAGCTGGGCATTCTGTCCCCCATTCAACACTGTTTGAGCTCACCTCCGCTGTTTCTTGTTAAGGACACAGATCGGCCCCACGAGCCACTCCAATATGCCAGTTTCGCTTTAGCCACGTGCAAGAATTACCCACATTGGCCACAGTGGCAACCCCCTTAACGTACCTAATGGTAGTGTTTGAAGGGATAAGGAGGAGGTTGTGAGGCAGCCACATTTCCCCCACCTGCATTGGCCCAATCAAGACTTCAAGTTTGGGACATCTCCGTAAGCTTTGGATATAAATACTGACTGCCTGGCGACAGTTTGCGGGGATCCTCATAGGTTTCCACCTAATAGAGGAGGCAAACCCCACTTGGTCTTTCTGCTGCCATCGGTGGATGCTTTCAATCTCTTGGAAACACTTAGAAAAACCCTGTCTCCCTTTATAATACTACAGTTGACATATTGGGAGCAAGAAATCCTTCACTAGAACTTCTCGACATTGGCTAAGCACATTCATCCCTATCAACCGTGGGGCCTTACTAGCAGAGCTCTGGAAAAA